AAAATAGGTGCTGTGGTAACACTCACTGTCCCAAGTGTATGCTCTAGTATGATGACACATATTGTCTCAATGGCCCAGAATGATACACTGTGAGTGATCTCAGCAAACCTATCTTTATGAAATGGTTGGGAAGAAAATGCTTTTGCGTTAAAGGAAAATTTTGAGATGGATCATTTTGAAGGCACTTAAATCCATACTCCCTTCTTAGCTGTTATTTCCTCAGATTCAAAAATTTATGATAACCTTCCAGGTCACCTGTGGGATTAGTAATGTTCAACGGTACCGTCACACACTCATTGTTCATGGCAGGTACTTGAGAAGGATCTGGCTTTTATGCATTCCTTTGTCACTGGCAGAATGTGGGTAAGTGGTGTTAGTGTGGATCTGCTTTTAGTTCTCTTTCTCCTCTTTTTTCTCTTCCCGTGAAAAGTCACTTCGACTGAATACGAACACTGACAACAGCTGTACCTACCTTCAGAGCAAGGGCACCTTTCAAGCAATACACCTGGGGTAAAGATATATATTATTGGATCAAAACCAAGCACCTGCAGGAGTCTTCATTACATACTGCATATAAAAGGCTCTAGAAAAGAAAAAAAAAAAAGAGTATTTTGCATTCAACTATGCATGAAAAAAAACCCCCACAATATGAAAGAACAAGAAACCTGACCTCAGGGATTGTAAATCACATATGGTGAAAAGCAGTTCCAAAATTTCCCTAATAGTCTTTAAAATCAGGAGGATCATGATTTTATGCCATTATTTCAGTCACATGGGGGAAAAAAAGAGGAAACATGGCTAGGACAAGAGTCCTGCCACTGCCCTAAGACAGTTCTAATGTATTTTCTGGCAAGGACTTTTCAATGCAAATAGCATAGGCATAATTCAATTTTCAACAAAATAAAAGGTTAAATTCCTGAACCCAATAGTATTTATAAAAGACAGCTTTCTGGAGACCATGATATTTTATAAATGTTTGTCTTGTATGCTACAGAGAGATATTGGGACTACKGTGAAAATCAATTGATGTCTTCTTTTTTTCAGAAGTGCAATAATAGCTGACAGACCCCTATGGATTACAGAAGTGTTTTTTAATTTGTTAATACTTCTCCAAAGGAGAACTGGAGCCTATCTCAGCATGATTGGAAGTAAACACTTTTCTCCCTTACTATGCTCCTTTTCTTGGCTCTTATACTCTACAGATCAATGGATTGGCTTTTCCMCTTTTTTTCAGGTGTTCATACTTCTGAGAAGAAAACATTTTGTTATGAGAGCTTCCAGGCAGCAGAAACAGGGCAACAGGCTGCCAATACAGCAGCCATGTGTCCCCGCTGTGTCCCTGCCAGTTCCTCAGTCCCCACAGCCGTGCCCAGGGCTGGCTGTACCCCACCAGGGATCTGCCTGGGATGCAGTTCCCCTGGCAAGGACCCTGCTCTGCCTGCTGAGGTTGCAGCTGCTGTGGCAGCCACATGCAGCTCTCCCCGAGGCTCCAACCCCTTCACCCCAAGSTAAGTAAATATACTCCAGTGTCAGCCCGTGGGGACCTCCTGTCAGCCATGGTCACTGGCCTGGCTGGCTCAGGAGTGACCTGGACATGCCAGGGCATCTGTTTCTTCTTCCCTGAAAGAGAAGGGGCAAAGGTGAATTTTAATCTTTGACATTTGCAAAAAGTCAAYTTTGTCAATGACATTTTGTACAACTAGAAAAACCAATTTATGTTATGTGAGTCTTCCTAAGAATTTTAACATTCATCATACACAAAGACCAGCTGTCTGACAGTCATTTTTTTATATAATTAATAGACAGGAATCACTCTACCATTACAATCCATTCTTCTAACTCCAGTGGATACATGGCTCTGCAGCTGCTGTTTCCTGATTGCATTTAGTGGATGCTATCAAAACAAAACTCCTATCTTCCCATTTATTTAGATTTTTAGTTGTACAGAGAGGGTACACTTGAGCTGGCCAAAGGATTTGATTAAATGCTCTACTTAAAAATTCATTTTAATGTGCCTTGTTTTCTAGGAAGTGTGCGTTATCTGTAYCTGTACCTGCACATATACCTGCCTACATGAGAATGATAAAATGGCATTGGATATTGTGGTGAGATAACATTTTCCCAAAACATATTTGAAACAACACCATAGTGCCAGTCACTGTTAAATATAAAACCACAGAATCATCTACTGCACCTCAGACTGGGTGAGACCCACTCAAGAAGCAGTGAGGGAGATATCCTTGTGTTTAGAATTTTTTTTTAATGTTCAAGACTGGGGAAATGTTAAATGGATGGCTCAGTTGTTTCTTATCTCATTCATAGAAGTATCCTCTTGGGAATTGCCTTATGCCTGATATCACACGCTGCTGCTCCTGCCTGCTTCATATGATCCTGGGACCAAGCTACACCAGCTGTTGAAGTSGAAGGTAGAAAATTTGTTTTATTTTTATTTAACCTTTCAGAGGAAAGACAGGGACATTTTGGAAATTTCAAAATAGAATGCTAGTGATTGCTTTAGAAATAAAAAGAAAATACACATTCTCCCACTATTGATTGACTTACAAAAAAGATGACTGATTTATATGGCACAGGACTAAAGAAGTTCAATAGCTGTCTTGATTTAATTCTCTATTGCCAAATTACAATTTGTTGTGCTTTGATCAGTGTAAAGAGTAGGGAGCACAGTTATTGACTTCATCCAGGGAAACAATAAAAATACAAAMTCTCCATTGTACAGACTAATCTTTGTGCAAGTCAGAAACTAGAGGAAGGCCTTATTCAAGTCCTAAAATAATTGTTTGCCATATAAARTGAGTAGAATTTGATCTGCAAAGAGTACTTACTAAATAAACATTTAATTTATCTATAAATARAGTGTAGGAGTTAGAAATGGTTAAAATTCCTGAAGAAATGAAGGAATAGAAAATAAACAGCAAGTAGAAAGGAAGATAACAGTAAATTGAAAAAAAGTCAGGACTATTTCAAGCTGAAACAATGTGACTGYTTTCTTATAATTTTATACTATTTTTTAATATCACTTGGTATAAATAAGGTTAAATATTATAATGATGCAGACATTTGTGGACAAATAGGGCACAAGCTACTGTAATTTYTGTAGGACTACATAATTGTGTTCTGACTGTAGATTTAGTTAACCTTTTCCTAAGTTTATCTACTAAGATTAGTCATAAATATTTTTAAAGTATTTAAAACATTAAAAAAGCTATTTAAAAAACATATTGTTCCAGCAGTATCTATTCTGTACCATTTGTACTCTATTAAATGTCCTATTATAGGGTTTTAGGAGATAATAATCTGCAAAATGCAATAGTCAAGGTCCAGGAAGAAACCAATARAGTACATCAGTAGTGAAAACAAAGAACAATGGGTTACTGGGAACTAGATGTTAGAAAAAACCTTAAGGAGAGAAGCTATTACCCACCAGCATGTAATAAACTCCTTACCAGATAATGGCTTGGGGAGAAAAGGTCTCAGAACTGTAACATTGTGATAACAATAAGTTGATGATTCTTYAGAATGAAAGAACTGCTTTCACTTTTAAAGACTATCTGGAAAGGAAGTATCTTGAGGGRAAAAAAATGCACAATGACTGCTCCCAACCACCCATTTATAAAAATAATAACTTTACTTCACAGACTGTAGAAGCGATATACAAAAGCCTATTGGATAAAAAATCTTAGTGAAGAAAAGAAAATAATCACCAGCTAGACCTGGGGAGAGGTGTTACAGCTGAAAACTCAAAGCAAAGGYTTTGTTCATTTACTGAATACTGAGGGCAGAGATGGATTATTAAATGAGAGTAATCTGGGGCAGGTAAGTGTATATATATACATATACACTTTGCATTTGTACTGTGAAATATGACTTAGAGAATATGCCTGTGATTTAAATTTGGAAGGRAAAGGTCTGGTTAAAAGGGAGCAAAGGAGAGAGAGAAGATGCAGAAAATGTGTTTGTGTGTGTGTGCACGTGTGTGTGTATGTGTTTGTGTTTAGACATGTCTTCACACTCACACARAATGACAGAACRGGTCAGACTGGAAGGGACCACAGTGGGTTACCCAGTCCAACCTCCCTGCCCAAGCAAGTTCATCCCATGGCACAGGATTGTGTCCAGAAGGTTCTTGAATACCTCCAGTGAGGGAGGCTCCACATCCTCTCTGGGCAGTCTGTTCCAGTGCTCGGTCACTGCACAGTAAAATGTTCTTCATGTTCAGATGGAACTTCCTGTGCCATCAGTTCCTGCCCATTGCCTCTTGTCCCATTGCTCAGCACCACTGAGCAGAGCCTGATCCATCCTCTGACACCCTCCCTTCAACACTGACACACTTTGATGAGGTCCCCTCTCAGTTGTCTCTTTTTATGGCTGAACAGGCCCAGCTCCSTCAGCCTTTTCTCCTGAGACAYTTCAGTCCCTCAATCRTCTTTGTAGCCCTCCACAGAYCTGCTCCAACAGCTCCATGTCTCTCATGTACTGAGGAGCCCAGAACTGARCACAGCATTCCAGATGTGCCTCACCAGGGCTGAGTGAGGCACATGATCACCTTTCTTGACCCGGTGGCAGTGCTCTTCCTAAAGTATTCCATTGGCTTCTTGGCCACCAGGACACATTGCTGGCTCAGGGACACCTTGTTGTCCACCTGGACTCCCATGTCAATCTCCACAGAGCTGTTTTCCAGCAGCTCAGTCCCCAGCCTGTGCTGGTGCCTGGGGTTCCTCCTCTACAGGGGCAGGATCCTGCACTTGCCTTTGTTAAATTTTAAAGTAATCTCCTCTGTCCACCCCTCCCACCTGTCAAGGCATACATGCCCATGTTTATTTGAAAGCTCAAACTAGAGTAAAAATTGGCTGAGGAAATCAGAGACAGGTTGTACTGGGTAAATACAGTGAGATGGAAACAATCAAGACAAGAAYGATGACCCTCAAATGCATTCCACAGAATAAGGCAACCTAGGAATCAGCAGCAAAACATCTTGCAAAATATTGCAAACTATGAGTCAAAGAGCTACGGAAAAATATTTTCCTAATCACATCCAGAAAGAGATTTTTAATTATATCAGAAAACAGTCAATGTTGGCACTGAAATAGTCTCAACAATAATTATTTAGTAACTGATATGTATTTTATTATAGTTTTATGACAGTTAATACTGATATGTCTAAGTAGTCCGTCTTACACTTATCGGTCATTATACATTCTGCATAATTCCAAAGTACAGGTTGCCAACAACTTGGCTAATGAAAATGGTATTCTGGTTTAGTACACTGGGCATGATTTCCTTTTTGTAACAGATAAAAGAATATTATAACATATGCATATATTTCTGCCCAATGCAAGAAATACATGCGRCCATAGAACTATTCATCCACAAAAAAATTCTACTAATCACAACCAAGTCAGAGTAACAAACCTAAACTAAACTAAACTAAACTAATTTAGCTTTTACAGCTACACACACCACTAGGCTTGAAAGCCATACTTGTTTGTTTTATTTTATCTTGGGGCACATAAAATCATGGTATCTGGCAGCAAGGAATAAGGGACATTAAATCAGCTTTTATGCTGTTGTTAAGAAACCCATAGAGGATGGGATTCAAGCAGCAGGACATCATACCCAATAAATGGCATATGCAATATAGCAATTTAAAATGCCTGTTGGAAATGAGAGTGGCATTAAAATCTGTAACAATGTGGAAAAGGTGAAGAGGCATCCAACTGAAGCCAAAAACTAGGATTAGCACTGTCAGTCTGCAAAAAACCCTCCTTGATCTTGTCTTAATTCTGACGATTGACTGGGATACTGTGATCATGTTCTGGATCTCTGTATTTTCTTCTGGTTTCATTTCAAAACAGATAGGGATCCCAGGGATGAATTTACTAGAAGAAAAAAGCTGGCTTTTTTCTGTGCCAGAAGTTTCTGGGAGATCTCTGGAATGAGTATCCTGATGATGCCTTGAAATAGCTGGCATCACACTCGAGGTCTTTCTACTGTATCTTCTGTGGTGCCTCCTGCCGAAGGCACAGCTCCACCTGGAGTATCTGGAGGGTTGCACCTGCGAGCCAGTGCTCTTAGAGGGATGAAGAGTTAGGTTTATCATCTCCTTTTCTTCAAACTTGTTTTCCTTGTTTGCCAGCCTAGCACCTATGCTCCTGCAGACACTGGTGTGGCTGGCGGTCAGGCACGCCAGCGGCAGGATGTACTGCATGAACAGCAAGGCTATCGTGAAGGCGATCCTGTAGGAATCAGAAGGCCACGACTCGATGCACAACAGCCTGTTCTCCAGTCCCTCTAAATTCAGAGTTTTGCTGAGGTCCACAGTTTTATGGAACACYGGCAGAGGGGAGCAAATTGTGAAGCCAAAGGCCCAAATGAACACTATTAAGAAGTAGCCTTGTTTGGCTGTTAGATTGCTAGAGAGAGGATATTTTATCATACGGTACCTGACCGCGGCAATAGATATTAACATCAGAGTCGAAACTAGGACTGATGCACACTGGAGGAAGGGCATTACATGGCACATGACAGTGCCAAACATCCACTGGTCAAGCAGGACAGATGTCAATGTGAAAGGTGAACAAAACAGCACAACCAAGATGTCAGAAAAGGCCAAATTTCCAATAAGAATGTTTATTACTGTCTTCTGCTTGCACTTTAGTAGGGCTGTTAGTATAAGCAGATTTCCCACAAAGCCAGCCAGACTTATAAGTGTGTACAGCCCAATAAGGAAGTACTGCATGTCATCAACACTACTCTTATAATCTTCCCAGGCAGAAAAATTCTTTGTTGTAGCAGAGGTGTTCTTGGTATGTGTCCTGTTGTTACGGTCTTTGAATCCTAAATCCATTTTACAGTCCTGCTTAGAACGAGAAAGGCATTAATTAGCATCTGAAGAGATGATGATACTGCTGTTAATCAGAATGTAAAAGTACATAAATTTACCTTCATATCACCTCAGTGTAAATAAATTACTAGTGATGTTAGTCTATTGTGAGGCAGTAGACTAACATCACCAGTGACCTGCACGGCTTCAGGTCAACATGAATTAGCTAAGTAGGTTTTATCATTTGGTGYTCAGCACACCTAGGCCTCCTACCTAGCTGTTCACGTGGGACAACGGCAATTTAAAGGTCTGCATTATGATGCTGCCCTTTAACTACGCTTTGCTGCAGAACATATTGTCAGGCTTTTCGTGAGGGAACAGTTACTGCAAAAGCAATACACCTCAAGTCAGTGAGATTACTCATGTGAATTACAGCCCATTGATATGAGTAAGGAAATTACAGTCACCATCTGGACAGATGCCTAGTCATTGCAAATTATAAAGAAGGCATCTGAAAATACATATGCTAACAACTGCAGTAGTATTTCTTACCTTGCTAGTAGAGAACTAACACAAAATACACGACAGCTTTCAAAAAGGATCAGGAAATCCACTGCCAGTGATCCAAGATGGAATTCTTAATGTGGTGTRTATAGAAAACATATTCTACTAAGTGCTGAATATAGTTTAACTGATGCTCAAGCAGAATGGAAAACCACCGACAAAACACCTAAAGTAATTGGATGTAACAGGGATGACAGTGTTAACTGGAAGCAAGCTACACACAGCCATTTGAAAATTCAGTGAACTGCTACTCATTCAGCACAGAATCATCTAGTGTTAAACCTAGCTCAGCACAGTCATTCTGCCTACCGAATCTTCATATATTAGTCTTCATTTTACAACAAATGGAAAGACATGAGAGTTCAGTTCAAACATCAATTTATTTTAAACACCTGYGTGTACTAGAGTATCAAAGTCAAAATTCCCCGGAGTGCCAATGTCCTGTACAAAATTGCTTAATGTTTAGAAATCTTACATCAGAGAAAGCAGAAAAGATCTACAAACCCAAAGAACACATAAATAGAGCAGAAGGCTAAATCTATCACCTAGAAAAAGCAGGGCTCTTCAAAACTGTAGCAATCTCGAGTAAGCTGTACCATGCTGACATCTTCAAAGTGCAATAATATTATTTCCTTCATGTGTGTTCCTACTGTTATGGTTTGAGCCAAAGGCAAGCTCAAACCATAAAACAATATTCACTAATGGTATTGTGACAGGAAGGACCTTCAAGTAAGGGCAGAAATATATATATATATATGTATATATTATATATTTATATACAAGATCTTGCAGGTAATGTGTTGGTAAGGAGTTAAAAGAAGTCAGCCTTGCCTCAATGTTAAAGTGCTTTTTGACAGCTAAAACAAAATTAAGAACTGGATACATGAGTTTAGATAACATAATTGTGTGCATATGAGCAGAGAGGCATTAATGCATACTTCTGTTCAATTTTTGCCAGTCTTTAATGAAATGGTGGGAAACCATATAATAGACAAACAATGCTATCTGAGACRACCTTTGCCTCTAGACCAACTTTAAAGGAGCATTAGAGTAGAGATTCTGTAAGTGATCTAATCTATTTCTATATTGATATCATCAAAAGTTTTCGTTTTGTTGGGCTTCCTTTATACAACTCTTGGCTGATGAAGTAGAATGGTTTTTATTTAATTTTTCTGAGCTAATTTCTGAGTTGCTAATAACCAACTGAAAACTGTATGATCTGTGCACCACCACCGTGACTTCCAAAATCTGCTGAAATTTCTTTCTATTCCCTAAATGTGACTCTACATAACTTTTGCAGCTTTGCCCTGGATAAGCTAATATACTGCTAAGAATAGGGCCAAGGAACATTTTATATGTTGTTATACTGTAACATATTTAATAAATTAATTTTTACTGAGTTCTTGAAGGTTTAAGTGAAAAATTGTTGCCAGTTTATGTGTATTTCTACACCTTTACATATAACTCTTGCAGTATGGATTCAGCAGAAATGTTCCATTGTGTTTTTAATAGAAATATTTAAAAACAAAAAGTGAATATTCTGGTTTTCTGAAGTAGATGTATTTTGTTGAGATTCATCAATACTGAAGAAGTTCAGCAGGAGCACCTCTGAAATCCAGCAGGGGCTGGCCAGGTCCATTCCTTCTGTGCTATGGCTGCCTTCTGCCTTGGATGAGAGATGAGATGAGCTCTTCACTACCACATTTCCTCATTTCCATGAGGAAGRAGCACTGGAAGAAGTCACATTATCTTTTCAGACCCTGGCTGGACACTCATGGCACCACAAGAGTCCGAGGTGCACAGAGACCCCTTCTGCACCATCTTCCTATAGTCACAGTCTCAGAGTGACAGAAAGACAAAGAGGGAAGGAAAAACAGKATAATCTGCTGGTTTCAACAGAGAACGGCTGTCCTGACAGAAGTTCCCTTTGCAAAATGCCCAAAGACAATTTCATTTTCATTTTGGATGTGTAAAATGAAATCAGACTTTCCCCCCTAATTTCAAAAAAACACCAAGTGGATCTCCTGCTCTCTGTGCCTTCTCTCTGGCTCGAAAAGAAACCAGTTACTCTCAGTCTGAGTGCCACTGGCAGTAAAGATGCAAACTGAAGTTTTTCTCCAATATCATTGATTTTCAGTCCCCAAACTCATCTTAGCAAGCCACTGATTTCACAGGGCTGCATGCACTTATTGGCATTTATCTTCCTGCTTTGTTTTGACAGCTGTTTCTATATTCAGAGATTTGCTCACCCTCCCTCATGTTGGTTGGTCAATCCCAGTACAGCACGTGGCTGTAACTTTCAGGGTAATGTAAATTCCTGAAAATCCCACTGTGGAAAACAGAACTAAATTATAMAGCTTCTTTTCAAAACCTTCTCCTCATATTTGAAGGGCATTTCTAAATTAAATGCATGTCAGTGTCGGGGTACTCTTGCACCGGTTTTCAAGCTCAAGTTTAGTTGAGCTGAAAGTACCTGCTGGAGGTTTTCTAGGTGTCAGCTCCAAAAGTTGGACTACTTTCATTTCCTACGTCTATCAGTCAAGCAAATGAGGTTCCTGTTCTGTAATGATGGTCTGCACACTGCAAAGTCCTGACTGTGCTCAGCTACACCTGCATGAGCTCATACCCGTGAGCTCTCTGTGGCTTTGCTTAGGTGTCCCTTGGTTTCYGTGGAATGCTTGAGACAGGAGGGTAGGCTGCACAAGGCAGCAGAGATTGCAGTTTAGAGGCAGGATCAGAGGTAGATTTGAGTATTTACTGAAAGAGTCAAATGGTGGCAGTTAACATTTAGCTGAGTTAGAGGTACCAGATAACCTAGGCTAATTTAAAATRTTCAATATCTTGTACTTAATATAATCTTTTCACTTAAAACTATCACTTAAAATACAAAATCCCTGAATCATAATTTAGGAGAGTTAATAGGCTGTGTATTTCTATTTCTCTATGTATTTAAAGAGAAATTTTCAAGAACACAAAACTTAGGCAAATATCATCCTCTAAAGGCAATTGCTTTTACAGGAAATGTTCCTTCAATTAAATGAGATACTTATATTACGGTTTATTCATGGATAAGAGCTTATATCCCACAGTAGTATTACCTATTAAGTTATCTCTGAGTGGCTGGTCCTTGTATAGTCCAATCAGTTCAATTCTTGTAACCGGGCAATTAATCTTTATAGCTGTAAATGATTTACAGTCTTGGGGGACCTTTTTCTATGTTAAAAGAAAAAAAAAAAATAACGCAAAAAAACCCCTCAAAAACAAAAACCCCAATCCCCCATGGTGAACACAGGGAGGAAGAAAAAATGTGTGGATTGGTAAGAAATACAGCCTTTCTGTCCTCATAATACTGGAGCAGTATCAAGACTTCATACAAAAACTCAGAAAAGGTTTTTAAAGACCTACACAGCTATAAGCAGTTAATATGAGTGGTTGTTACTGCACAGCCACCAAAGCTTTAGGAAAGCACTGGGTTATATTGTTACAACTTGAGAAATTATGCCCTCACATCAGTACAGACCGAGACAACATCCAAGACAAAATTTGAAACCACTGAAGTGTTGCATTCACAGCACAAGCTAAAGATTAAAAGCTGCCGATTCTGATGTTCTTGTTCATTATGTGCAAYAGTAAAAACTAGCCTGAGAACCTGGGAGAATTCAACAGATTGAAATTACTTCAGAAGTCCAGAAAAAAAGGATTTTTGTACATATTAAGGGTTATGCCAATTTCTGTGCCTAACTGAAAGAACTGCAACATTATCCTGAAGCACAAGAATATAACTTCCCAAATTATGGCAAAGCCAACTAATAAGATTACATGTCCAGCTCAAAGGAAATGCTACGAAACATAAAGGGCTATTTGCTGGCCAGAATAGAAAACTTGAAACGCATGGCTACGTTTTCTTCCAGGGACCGCAGCAGCTCTTGGCTCGCAAAGGCAAAAGCACCAAACCACCCCAGAACGGGAACGACTGTTATTTCTGCCCTTGTCCGCGTCCCTCGGGAGCCGCTCTGCACACCCGCACCGCCCAGCGCCCCAAACCGCGCACCCGCTCTCAGCCCGAGCCCCGGACATCCCGCATCCACCGGGACACTGCACCCGCCGGGGCTGATGCGCTCCCCATCCCCGCGCTCCCGCTGGCAGGGCGGGGCCCCGCGCAAACTTGGGGTGGGGAAGGGAGCCGAGCGGAGCAGACCTGAGCTGAGCCGTGCCGTGCCGAGCCGAGCCGAGCCGAGCCGTGCCCGCCGGACGCCCCGGGGGCGGAGGGGCAGCGGGGGCGCGGCGAGGCGAGGCGGCGGCCCCGGTCGGCGCTCACGGCTGCGGCGCGGGCGGGCGGAGCGCGGCTCCGCGGGAGCGGGGGGAGGCGCGCAGCCCCCGGGCCGCCCGCGCATCTCCCGCGGCTGCTGCGGCACCGCCGGGGCTCKCCCGCGGCCGAGAGCCCGGGGCTGGCCGTGCCG